GCAAAGGCTGCTGCAGTAGCAGCTTCGGCGGCTGTCAATGCTATGTATCAAGCAGGAATTAAATGGAAGCCACAAAATGAAACCACTCCCCCGTAAGTTTTTGTCCTTAGTCTGTTTCTTGCAGTCTTTTTGCCAAAATCGAAAGTTTACCAAGTTTGTTCTGTTTATCTTTCCTTTGAATCTTTTACCACCTACCAGTCCTGCAATGACAACTAGTGAGCGAGGAATAATCGATAAGATGGCGGAGTACGTCATACGGAACGGTCCTGAGTTTGAGGAGCTCGTCACTCGACAGAAAGGCAACGACCCACGATTTGGTTTTCTTAAACCAAACCATCATTTGTACGCGTATTATCAATCGCGCAAACGAGCTGCAGCCACAGATAAGTCTCATGATGAACGAGTTGCTTCACTTAANTCAATTTTTTATGCATTTTAATGTCGAGGACATGAACCGTGTAATTACCAAAACCCAGTGAACTTAGGACTGCGGTTAGGACCAGCAAACCACATAAATCCCTTATCTGATGAAATAATGTGATTTTCTTGGACCGAGATACAACGATCGCCACTTCAGGCTGTTTTAACACCCTTTAGATATCAAAAGTCAGACTTTTCGTCCAAGTGCCACCGGGGATCATTAGCTGCATTTCCATCTATTAAATCAACCATCCAGAGCAATTGACATGGCCAATAAAATACACACAAAATATTCGTACACCGTGAAGCTAAAATTAGTAGGAAAGATTCCAATTGTGAACTGCTTTTTATGACCATTCGTGAAATCGGGTATTTACTCTCCCCAAGGGCATCAAGAATAGCGAAAAAGAGAAGACCTAGAGGCGCAATTTTTCTGAGTTATTTTGAACAAGCGCAGACAAGCATGAGATTTATCACTTAAATTATTGTCCTTGTATAAGCCGTCCATGAAGTCATTGAAAGTGGCCGCGAAATTGAGTTTACACGGTAAACAGTGGAAACAGTTTGATTGCATTCAATTTAAAGCAGGCCATAAGTTTGAGTCGCTACAGTTAAGCGCAATAATAGCTAAATAAAGGTTCCAGAACAATGATTGCCGAAATCACTAACAGACTTCGTACGACGCTTACTACGATATGCAACGTGCAAATCCAGAAAAACTAGATGAAAACAATTTTTTGTTCAGTTTGTTAGTTGTATCCAACAAAAAACGTCTAACAATATTAGCTTGTTAGAATAAGGAAAACGTTAGTGATAGGCTCATAGACAATCATTTGGTGATTGTTTCGATTCTGGGAAACCATGTTTTCAAATGCTTATTGTGGACTTGAATTTATCATTTCGTTGCGAAACATTCCCACGACCACCATATCGTTTTCTATTTGTTTTCAGATCGTTATTCTCCAGACGGGGACTTACTTAGGGAACGTCAATCTAGTATCAGCTTCCGCCTTAGTCGACCGAATAGTTCTGGAAAAATTCGCTCCGTTACTCCCGAAAGAATTGTTTCACAAAGTGCACTTTCTCAGTCAACTGATGTTCACTCAGCTATGAGCTGCCCTGTTTTAAGCAAACAAGATGAGCGCTCACGGTCACCTCAGACTCCAGAGAACTCACTGCTGTCGACTGAAGATGCATCCAACGGTCGATCACCATCACCGGTTAAATTTAGCCTTCCAGGTATCCCATTTGCTTCTGATACATCATCCGCTGAATCAAGCCCCCGGTCTGGTCACCGCTCTGCAAACTCGAGTCCTCGTTCGCGCTCTCATTCGCCTATCGCATCTGTTTCATCCCACTGCAAAAGTACCGCCTCTGTTTCACCTAGCGTGACTTCCTATAAAGACAGTCCAAGAACTACGACTTTTATTAAAGTCAGCACAGAAACCGCATCTCTGCAACTGAAAGATCATCGATCGCCGAAAATTAAAAACCATGCTGTTACTCATTCACCAACTATTGAACTGAACAAACAGGGTTCTTCAAACTCATGGGGCTCAGTTGCCATTGAAGAAATGCTTGGTAAGTTGTAAATATCCGTCATTTTTCTTCTTGTTTATCGTTTTCTTTCAATATCCCTGCAATGAATTCATGTACTTGAAAAATTTTCACCGCTGTTTCATCTGTCGTTACTGCTGTACTTCTGAAATCGTTTAGTCCCGTTTCTTGAGCATACATCATTTTCATCATTACTTTCTATTTTTACGGTTAGGCTTGGCTGACGGTCCTCCAACAAAGGATAAGTCACCAGATCCGTCATCATTGCACCATGCGGCGCAAAAAGTTGTGGACGAACGTATTCGTGAAGAACGACGGAAACGTGCTGCTCAGTTGGTGGCTCGACTGAAATCATCCAGTTCATCGGATCCGTATGCCAATGGTACATTATCTAGTCCTCGGGTTCAGACAACCACAGCCCCACCACCACCGCCTGATTCTGTTCCTGCTGCCGTTGCACATGCGGTGGTGGCCAGTCTAAAACGTCGTCAGGAGGAATCTCGAGCATCTGCTGAGGCTGAGGCAAAGGTGAACACTTGTATTATTTTTTCTGTTTCCTGTCCAATGAGATTACAGTTTGTTTGGTGAAATGATGGAACTTCTGGAAGGCTGATGATCGTCACTTGTCCTACCTATTCAGAAGAACGGACTTATCTTCTAGTAACAGAGTCAAACTCTATCGGCTGTTAATCGCAGGATCGTTTTAGGTTCGATTAAATCTGCATTGATTATATCCTTATTTTTCGCCCAGTTCTATGATGATTGCACTATTTATATGTTCGATTGGAAGGTTGCGTTTGACTCACCCTACCACATCCCGTGTTCTACACTCCGTCAATGATACGGTTATTTTTGTACTTTATCTTGAATGAATGGTCGAAATCGAGACCGTGCTCGTGAGTTTTTTTGTTTTGATTCATCAGAGAAGAGATATTCTTCAGTTTTTTGGCATCAAGTTTTAAACAAGTATCGTAATGATTGGTGATATGAAGATATTCACATCGATCCCCCCAGACGTCTGGCTGCTGAATGTGAACTGTGCACTTGACATTGTGCTAGAAAATAAAGATCCAAATAGTGTGCGTACTCCTACGAAGAGATTACCTTTTTATTCGTCAAACTTTTGGTTGAATCATTATATCTAGGGCTTATTTATGTCTCTATTGAGTAATCAGTTTCCTGGTGTGATAGCCTTTTCGATACCTCTCCCTGGATGTGAACCTCGGGATGATCGAAACTAATGGTTGGAGCACTGAAGGATATGGCTGAGTATCGTAAACAGTTGCGTTTGTGCATCTTGTCAATTTCTTTGCAACATTGGTCCGCTGGAATTCTTAATTTTCTCTCTGAACCTACTTTCAATCTTTCCTGTCTTTCTCCTACTGTTCACCCAAATGTCCGGTTCAATACCACGCCTGACCTATCGGGGCCTTATGTGGTTCGCCACTCCAAATCCCGGGGCTTAGGTCGCCGGTT